TCACCACATAGGACGTGGGCGGCGGGACCGCGGCGCGTCTTGGCGGTCTGCGGGGGGGGGGCGCAGCTAGTTCGGGGTTCCCTCACCCCGTTCGTAAATAGGGATCCGACGTAAGTCAGATCCACGTAACCCAGGGACTGCCTGTATATAACTTTTTTGTCTGGCTCCTTTACTATTAACTAAAACTCAAGGGAGAAGCAGATGATATATGCCTTTTTTACAAGTAAAAGCAAATGATGTTTGACATTTACCATTTCTTCCAGCAAATCAAATAAAGTAATGACTAAATATTCACCATTAAACCTAGTAGTTGGTGATTATGAATCTTCTTTAATGTTTCTTATATTAAATTACATTAATCATTATCATTTGTTCCTGCTCCAGTTATCAAAACTATTTCTGACTCTATAAAGAAATAAATGGTCTGTTACAATGCTTGTACATACTTGTAGCCATCTCTGATGAAAGTGGCTGCAGGTGGCATGGGGAGTTGTTCAATTTTAGGAGGAATTGCCCAAGAAGGCCTGAACATGCAGGCATCTGGTATCTTCAGAGGTAGTAGGCACTGGCTTGGCAGTATCTTCAATGGAGCAAACATAGAGGAGCCCACAAAAGATTGAAATGATGGAACTTTGTAAACATATGAAAAATCCTGTAAAACCAAAGTGATTTCAGTGTTTAGCGCTACATAGAAAAGCCAATTATTATATTAAAAATATATTCAAGTAAAACTAATTATACTGTAGTAGAAATTTACAGAAAACTTAGTTTTTAATGTCTTACTATAGATGCCAAGGCCAGAAGAGCCACTGTGATAATCTAATCTGACATCCTATACAACACAGGCCAAAGAACTTCCCCAACTTAATTTCTACAGCAGATTTTTTTTTTATTCCAAACTTGCTAATGATGAGAATCCACTCTAACTCTTAGTAAATTGTTTCAATGGTTAATTACTCCCACTACACATATGCATTAATTTCCAGCCTGAATTTGTTTAGCTTCAACTTCCAGCGATTCAACTTCCTCTCTCTCCTAGTCCAAAAGGCCCATTATCAAAAAGTTGTTCCCCATATAAATACTTACAGACTATAATCAAGTCATCCCTTAACCTTCTCTGTGTTTAGACTGTGCTAGTTGTATCTATCATAAGGAAGGGTTCAAATCCTTCATGGCTCTTCTTTGACCCTTCTTCAATTTATTAACATCCTTCTTAAACTGCGGACACCAGAACAGTACATACTATTCCACTATCAACTGTATCAATGCCAAATACAGAATATAAAATAGCATCCCTCTTCCTATTCAATATTTCACTGTTATGCACCCAAGGATCACATGAAGCTGTCTGGTCACAACATTGCATTGGGAATTCAAGTTCAGTTGATTATCCACTGTGATCCTCAAATCATTTTCACAGTCACTGCTTGCCAGGATAGATTCTCTCATCCCATGAGTAAGGTCTACATTCTTTATTCTTATCTGTTTACTTTTATATATAGTTGTATTCAGTGCTTTTTTTGTTAACCAAAAAAAAAAAAGGTGCCGGTATTCCAAGGGAAAAGTTGTTGAGCTCTGACTGGAGGTGCCGGTACTGTGTCTCAAGGTGCCGGTACTGCGTACCGGGCAGTACCATCACAAAAAAAAGCGCTGGTTGTATATTAAAACACAGTGTTTGCTTGCATACAGCTTATCAAGTGATCCAGATTGCTCTGTACTAATTACTTGTTTTCTTCATTGTTTATAACTCCCCTGACTATTGTATCATCTTCAAATGTTCAGTGATGAGTTTGTTTTCTTCCAGGTCATAAATAAAAAAATATTATATAGTGTAGAACAAGACCCCATTAAATACAAACCTGCTTGATGGTGATTCCCCATTAACAACATTTTGAGACCTACCAGTCAGTCAACTTGTAATGTATTTAATGTGCACCATGTTACTTTTATTTTGCTCTGATTTTTAATTAAAATATCATGCAGCACTGAATCAAATGCTAAACAGAAGTCTACATAGATTATTCAACACTATCATATTTACCAAAAAGATACCAACTTAGTTTGATGGGATCTATTTTCCATAAATTCATGTTGCCTGGCACTAATATTACCCTCAATTAATTCTTTATTAATGAAACCCCATATCACATGCTCCGTTATCTTGCCTGGATCAGTGTTTGCCAGGCCTAAAATTACTTGGGTCATCCTCTTTACCCCTTTAAATATTGGCACAACATTAACTTTTTTCCAGTTTTCTGGAACGTCTCCAGTATTCCAAGACTTAACTGAAATCAACACTAACAGTCCCGATTCTGCCTTCTCTGTTAAAACTCGGATGCAAGTTATCTGGACCTGCTGATTTAAAAATGTCTAGCTTTAGTAGCTGCTGTTTAACATCCTCCTGACATACTAGTGAAAATAGCGTTACTATCGTGAATGAGTACGTCAACCATTTTTCCCAATTGTAGAATAGAAATATTTATTGAACATGTCTGCTTTCTCTGGATTAGTATTGATAATTCTAAATTTTCTATCTAGAAACTACAGGTTGGACCATTTGTTCTAAGCCAGTGGCCCCCAATCTTTTGGCACCACATGCCTAAAGGCGGGGCTGTATACGTGCTGTGCGCCAGCCCTGGACACACGGCAGGCCCTGCCAGTCCAAACCTCCCCTGGCATGACATGTTGGGCAGCCCAGCTGTGGTGCGCTGGGCTCCTCGCCCCACTGGGCAGTCTAATGGGGGGTACGTCAGGAACCAAGCTTCTAACCCCATGGTCAACTCACTGCCAGCAGCCCGCAGAACTCCTATGCACCAGCCCTCCACGGGGATTCTCTGGTCTGGCAACCTCTATGGTCCAAGGCTCAACCTGTACTATTGTTAAGATTTTCTGCATTCCACATGGACGTAAACCACTTGTGCTTTGTGTCCTCAACTCTGCCAGTCATCTATTCCTCTGTATTCTTTTGCTTCCCTTCTCAGTGCTTCCCTGAAGTGTGAGAAGATGAAGCATAACAGGATTCCTCCCTTCGGCACTCAATAATCAACATAAAAAACGTACTTACATTTTTGCAAAAAGGAGTTACAGTGGGGTTAGATATATGAGCAGCAGCTGCTCAAATGATGACATAGCACAACTCTTGAGCATGCATGAACAATTAAAAATATATATGTTTCCACACTCTTTAATCTTTGTTATCAATATCTAAGACATCTTCAGTATGAATGGGTCCCTGAAAAATTATATATATACAGTGCTTTTTTTTGTAATGGTACTGCCTGGTACATAGTACCGGCACCTCCAGATGCAGTACCAGCACCTCCAGTCAGAGCTTAGCAACTTTTCCCATAGAGTACCGGCACCCCCTTTTTTTTTTAAACTAAAAAAGCATTAATACACACACACACACACACACATACACACACACACACACACACACACACAGGGCTCGACAAACTATAGAATCTACTTGCTCATGGTGAGTAGATTTCAGCCATGCACCTCGTTTACCGGTAGCGTGCGCATGCGCAATGCGGCTCTTGCACATGCGCAGTGTGG